GGAACGCCTCACGGTGAGTGAAGATGACTCAGTTGTCAATTGCTCTTTCCAGTCATACTATGGATAGGCTGCAAGGCCGGGCGCTGGTGATCAAGTTCTTATTCGATCACATTTGCCGTTGTTCGTCTGAGCGTGACATTGATCGTGAAATTCCAATGTCTTTTGTTCTCAGGGCTGTATAGTTGTCAGACTATCGTGGATTGATGGTGCCCGCATAGCAGGAGCCTGCAGCTGTAGCATGCCGAGATGACGACGTCGTAGAGATACAAACAAAAAGTAGAATCAGCCCTCGTGAACATCTACAGTACTTTGATCGTTGACACTGCGTACCAGAAGTCAGAGGGTTGGAGTTGTGTGCCCTGGTTCAAAGTTCAGGGTGATGTCGGAGATCGAGCCGCGGCACTTGGCGAGTCCTGTCGTCATCAGGGCGGCGCCGAACTTTTGATTGACATCTCCGAAGTCGTCCACTCCCACGTTCGCTCGTGTATCGCCATGTGGAATGCCTCAATAACGCCCCAATCCGCTCTCACACTCCGGTAGCCGTCCAGTCTACCCATTCCACGCCATGCGCGGCCCGCTGGTTTTCTCGGCGAAGGCCTGGCACGGCCCAGGCAACGGCGCCCTCTTCTCACAAATACAGTCGCGCATCTCGACGACAGCAACACGCCAAAAATCAACGTCATTCGCTACCAAGCCAATTTCAACAGCTTCGATACCTAGGCCGTCGCCGAACAGCGCCGTGCCATGTCTCTTCCCTCCATCGTCGATATCACGATTCGCAACCACGGGCACCACACGTCACAATGGCGTACCAAGCCCGGCTCGCATGTTCACCACGTCGCGATTACTAGCGGAAGCGTCGAGCGGTACAAAGCCTGCAAGGCAGCGCAAGTCATACAGGGAGGAGATTAAAGAAAAGGGCATCGTGGATGTTGAAGAGCACGATGGCGAACTGGAGAACGAGGAACAAGGCTTCGCAAAGTCTGAGAAGGCGGCGCAGGCGAAGCAGGTCAACTTGAGCGCCAAGCTCAGCAAGGATGGGTCTGGTTCTGGAAGCACACCCGGTGGCATGAAAGAAATCTGGAGATTGATCAAGATTGCCCGACCGGAGCTAGGCGTACTCTCTTGGGCTTTCGTGTTCCTGCTCGTGGGATCTGGCATCTCTCTATCTGTACCTTTCTCAATCGGCAAGATCTTGGACGCTGCAACTTCGACCGAGAACACCGATGGCTTACTCTTTGGCATGTCTCCCTCCGTCTTCTACTTCGCACTGGCGGGTGTCTTGACAACCGGCGCCGCATTCAACTTTGGACGTATCATTATTCTGCGAATTGTTGGAGAACGCATCGTGGCTCGCCTGCGATCTCAGCTTTACCGCAAGACATTCGTGCAAAACGCAGAGTTCTTCGACGCCAACAGGGTTGGAGATCTCATCTCCCGTCTCGGCTCCGATACCATCATCGTTGGAAAGAGCATCACGCAGAACTTGTCTGACGGTCTGCGTGCGCTTGTCAGTGGTGCAGCTGGTTTTGCCATGATGGGTTTCGTCAGTCTGAAGCTTACTGGTATTCTCGCCTTGATTGCCCCACCTGTCGCTCTCGTCGCCTTCTTCTCTGGTCGCTCGCTACGGAATTTGAGTCGCAAGATTCAGAAGAACCTGGGAACTTTAACTAAGATTGCTGAAGAGCGGTTGGGTAACGTTAGAACAAGTCAAGCCTTCGCTGGAGAAGTCCAAGAAGCATCACGCTACAATCGACAAATCAAAAGGATATTCGCTCTAGGAAAGAAGGAAGCCGTGGTCGCCGCAACTTTCTACGGAAGCACTGGATTGATGGGCAACTTGACCATCATCTCTATTCTTTATGTTGGCAGCAACATGGTCAAGAACGGAGTCATTTCTATCGGTGAACTCTCCTCGTTCTTGATGTACACTGTCTATGCCGGTTCCAGTATGGTTGGTCTTTCTGGTTTCTACGGTGAGATGATGAAGGGTGTTGGAGCTGCCAGCCGTCTCTTTGAGCTTCAGGATCGCAACCCGACAATATCCCCCACCAAGGGTCTGGCAGTCAAGTCAGCGCGCGGCCCCATCGAGTTCAGGAATGTTTCTTTTAGCTATCCCACTAGGCCAGCAGTCACTATTTTCAAGGACCTCAGCTTCAAGATTGAACAAGGAACAAATGTGGCCATCGTGGCGCCTAGCGGAGCTGGCAAGTCTACAGTCGCTAGTCTCCTCCTGCGCTTCTATGTTCCCAACACCGGAACTATCACTATCGACGGCCGAGACATTACCACTCTTAACGCGAAGCAGTTGAGAAGAAAGATTGGTTACGTTGGTCAGGAGCCCGTGCTCTTCTCTGGTACCATCGCCGAGAACATCGCATATGGTGTGCCCAATGCCACTCGCGCTGAAATTGTGGCCGCTGCACGAAAGGCCAACTGCCAGTTCATCAGCGATTTCGTAAGTATGAACCTCCTTATGTAAGATTCCTACTAATCTGTACAGCCCGACGGCCTTGAAACACACGCTGGCGCCAGAGGTACTCAGCTTTCAGGAGGCCAGAAACAACGTATCGCCATTGCACGAGCACTCATCAAGAAGCCCGACATTCTCATCCTCGACGAGGCAACAAGTGCTCTCGATGCCGAGTCGGAGACTCTTGTCAACCAAGCACTCAACAAACTCCTCCAGGAGAACAATACAACTATTAGCATCGCACATCGCCTGTCGACAATCAAGCGCTCTGACCGTATCATCTGCATCGATGCTGACGGTAGAGTAGCCGAAGAAGGCACCTACGAGCAGCTCAGCTCAAACCCAGAGGGCGCATTCAACAAGCTCATGGAATGGCAAATGAGTGGTGGGGACGTTCCTGCCAAGGATGTCAAGAGCCCCAAACCTACTGAAGAGGAGGAGGTTGAGCGAGAGCTCGAAGAGGAAAAGGAAGAAGTCGCAGGTCGCAATCGCGTCTAATGAACACAGACCTATTTGATAGTTTCTAAATGGCAATCGCGATACTGTAACGCGACTCTTCTGCTTCTCCACAAACGAAGCAAAGGTGGGCGAGCCCGCCAGCAACAGCCATGCCAACATCAGGCTCGCTGGACTTTGGTATCAGCAAGACCTTGCAAGAACACCGCGCTCAATACTAAGATCCTAAGAGCAAACCGACTTATTCTATAGCGCTCTTTGGGTGGCATGATGTAGCCATGTACCAACAAGTTCTACAAACCAGGTCCTAGGTTATAATAGGCTTGGAGATAGTATCACTTCCCGCCTGTTCATATATCTGAGCATTACAACTATAATCAAAATATCGTTCTCCTCTCAATGTCACCACAGTAGTGACCTACAGGTCTTACCACGTGCAGTATGTAGTGGGACGTGTTCCGTTAGTTTACTTAGCACCCTGATTCCAGCTCGCATGGCATGACCATCACATAATCAGGTACGACACCACTCAAAACACGCACCATGACTTGATACATGGCAGACCACCAATCAGCACATACTCGAACTACCTAGCGCACCGAACGGGGCAATGTGCCCGTACATCGCAAAAGGAACGTTATAGTGACGTCATGCATACCATGGAGTCTAGACCTCCATCCCTAACGCGCGCTGACGCGATGTGTGATGCAGTATAGAACGACATACCATATAACAACCATATAACTTGCCATCAAAACATATACACCACACAAACAACTTCAATGCTCAACACTACATCCCGGCTTCTCCGCCTATCCACATCCACACTCACAAAGCGAACTGCAACACCCACCATCACCACCAAATCCTTGTCTACCACCACCCCAAGACTCTACGCCCCAGCCCCCAAGATGGAAGCCTTCAAGAAAGTCGGAAACCGGGAAGACGCGCCCCCCAAACACGAAATGGTGCATTTCCCTGGCCTCATGTCGGAAAAGCGGTCGTTTGGCGACTTCCGAACCGTCCTGCACACGGGTCTCTACTCGCAAATCGTCGCCATGGAAGTACCCGTCAACGGCGAGATTGGCGACGAAGTCCACACCGTCGACCAGATCCTCTTGTTTACCTCGGGAAAGGGCCTCGCGACGGTGAATGGCAAGGATCAGGAGGTCAAGGCGGGTGATGTCGTTGTTGTGCCGGCTGGCACGCAGCATCAGTTTGTTACAAAGGGGGATCAGCCGCTGGAGTTGATTACCGTGTATGCGCCTGCGGAGCATTTGCCGAGTAGTGTGCATAAGACCAAGGAGGAGGGGGATAAGGCGGAGGAGGATGAGATTGATGAGGCGCCGGAGTGGGCGTTGAAACCCAAGGCTGAGAATGAGAAGAATGGGTTGGTTAAGGAGAGTGGGAAGTATTAAATGGACTTTTAGTTTCAATCGAATAATTTCAGTGACATAATTCTGGTCAGTATGTTTACAACAGGCCAGCAGTGCGAGTTGTTTGATCATGGGTGCACTTGATTGGGATGACCAGATCGGGGAATGGTGTGGGGCTGCAGATGCACTGCAATCTTTAGCGTAGAGGAGCAGTCGTTGCGTGTGCTGAAATAATCTGTGAATTCGGCTTAGTCCGAATATTCTGGGCCAATCCCTAGGTGTATATGCAGGTTCAGTGCAAGGTAATGGAGCGCTGCACTGCATTTCTTAGCGCAGAAGAGCAACTGGAGCAAGGCTGAATGGCCAGGGCTGAATACGCAAGCGGAGAAGTATGTAGTTAATGGGCAAGCTGCACGTTGGGCCAATCATTCGTACATGACGTGGGCTTGACAACGATCTAACGGCCAAAAGCTGGGTGCTTGTTGCACTGCAATTTTTAGCGTAGAAGAGCGGTCATAAGGTTTCCAAGACCAATGTGTGTTGTCCACGACCTACTAATGCATGCACGTCGCAGTTTGTCGCAGTTTTGCACTGCAATCTCTAGCCCGGAAGAGCAGCTGAAGCAAGGCTGAAGGGCCAAGGCCGAACATGCAAGCGAGGAGCGACCATATGATGTCATCTCATTGTAACCCTAACTACAATGACCGGTATTCCTTCACTATCCGCTGAACAGTATCTCGGATGTTTTCGCGACGATAGTGACCAAGCAGAGCTTCATCTGGAGCGTCTGGTTCGTAAGCTTCGATACTACGCCCAGCCCAAAGAGACGAATCTGGCATCAGAGGATGCTCCTGATCTGAGGCAGGTACTGCTGTATGGTTGCCAACGGCAGAGAAGAACAGACCAAAATATTCCGAGAACGTAAGGTTCTCGCCCCCAATGAGGATCGATCTACCAGACACAGACTCACTCTGTTCCAGTGCGGCGGTGATTGCTATGGCCAAAGATTCGACCGAAACGAAGTTTGTGTTTCCAGTAGGTGCTGATGGAGGGATACCAAGCTTGCGTTCCGCAAACTGAGTATAGGCCACAAACATTGGGACTTTCATGCCTGGCACAACCCCGACGACAAATGGAGCATCCAGACTGCATGTATGGAATGTAGTCGTTGCCAGTGAAGTGATTCCGTCAGCGGCAAGCTTTCGTGACCGTACGTAGGGGACTGTATCGACCAGCTGAGGTGCAATGTGCGGATAGAAACTGCCGATGTGCACGAATCTCGCAACGCCGGCGTCTCGGGCTGATCGAGCAAATCTCACTATAGCCTCGGACGCTTGTAGGTAATACTCGTCCGCAGAACTGTTTTGAGGGACGTGTCGTACATCGGCACCAGCTGAGAAGACGATGCTATCGAAGCTTGAGAATACTTCTGGCGTGTACTCTCCAGAAACATAGTCGATTTTGATGAAGGGGAGGTCTTTGAGAACCGGGATATCTTTTACGGGGTGGCGACCAGCAAGCGTAACGGCGTAGCCACGAGAATGAAGGTGAAGGGCAGCGTATCCTCCGATCATTCCCGTTCCACCGACAATAAGGATGTTCTTAGGCTGAGCCATTTTCCAGGGTATCGGTTGAGCAAACGAGTTGTGGTGGTTCGATATTCCCAGATGTCTATAGATATTCGCAACCTTATATGTTTGCGTATGGCCCTAGACTGCAGCTGTAATTTCCTCATGCTTGTCGAAGCCGCGCAAGACCTGCGGGTACTACGGAAACTTTGAGCTTGATACCTACTCACTGACAGCTCTCTCACTCCGGCTTACAAATCGTATCTGGATTGCTAGCTCACCATTGGCACCCAGCATCTGTGACTCTAGCCAAGCCAAAATGTCTAACAAGGAACCTTGTCTGGACAAGCAGACTAGACTGAGACGAGTCTAGAGTGATGAATACTTTAGAAGTATTAACGATCCGACAGAGGCCTCTGCTAAGTTTCAGTAACTTCCAAGACTTCTATTAGTAAGCGGCCCGTATACCTAGGAAGTACCTGGACAAAACCCTGTGGGCTTAACTAAGTTGCGGCTAGTAAAGCCGATCGAAGTCTCCCAGTCTTAGAGTGCGGATCTATTGTAGCATATGTGGCAGAGTTATGTTTTGATCATCTCGACCTATCCTTTTTACAACGCATATCTAAAGTGCTTGGCCTGCTTATCCGTCAAATCGCTAAATCCATCCCTAATAGCTTGCTCGTCTTCTCCTTGACCGAACTTCTTATCCCTTCTCTTGTTCTCCCAGCCCATCCATAAAGCCAGCACACCGGCTATTACCACCATCGCGCAGTAACAGACAATAAGTCCTGTCAACGCCGAAAAGTACCTTGGCGCCTCTCGCGAAAAGAAAATGTTCGCGCCCGCTATGTTACCCCCAGCGTAGAAAACAAACCACAGCCCATTTGCCGTACTGCGCTTCGTATGTCCGGCGATGTTTGTCGTCAGCAGATTCCACGACAAAATGACCGGAGCACCGACGATGTACTGCAACCATGTGCATCCGACCAGGCTCCAGCGTTGTGACAAGGGCGTGAGTCGAATGCCCAAAAGTCCAGCCAACGGCGGCAAACAAACCACGGCCAGGATGAGACAACGCGTATCTCTAAAATATCCAGCTGCAAGGCCACAAAGCGGGACAACCACAAACTCAATCGCACCCGTCGGAAGCTGCAGCAACGTAGCATAAATCCCACTAAACCCAAATCCACGAATGAGTGAAGATGAGAAGTTTGACACACCGCCGTTGATTACACCGCAGCAGAGTCCAATCAAACTGATGCAAAGGACCTTGAAATCAAGAACAGCTTCCACCGCCTGCGCCTTCTGGAACTGTTTCGTCTTGACACCAATCATGTTACTTGCAATCCGATCAATCGCCACGATTCTTTGCTTGTGCGATAGGAATTTCGCAGTAGAAGGACTATCAGGCATAACCCAGAGGAACACCCACGCCCAGACGAAGTTCAACAGCCCAATGACGAGGAAGATGAGCTGCCAGGTCTTGATATGCGACGAGTGCGCGTGACCAAGGCCGTAGCCAAGCAAGGCGCCAACCATTGTCGCCATGCCGTTGAAAGCAAGGAAAACGCACATGCGTACTGGTTGTTCATCGCGCCGGTAGAACATGCTGACAATGTTCATGATAGCTGGACTGATACTCGCTTCGAACATACCCAGTAAGAAACGCAGGGCGAGCATCCCAGCGTAGTTTTTGGCCGCGACGTGGCAGCAGAGGAGGATGGACCAGAGGAGGATCATGGAGCCGGTGTATTTTGAAACGGGGAGTCGCTGGATGAGGTAGTTTGCTGGGAGCGCCCAGAAGAGGTAGCCGAAGTTGAAGATGGCGGCGACCCAACCGTAGCGGTCGCCTTCGAGGCCGAGGTCAGGGGTCAGAGTGTAGGCATTTGCGTAGTTTAGGGACAGTTTATCGAGGAATTGGATCATGTATGTCATGCAGATCTATCTTTCTATTTAGTGACGTGTTGTTAAGAGTGACTGGCGTCTAAGTACCATTGGCATAATGACCCAATCGATCTTCCGAAGTACAATCTTTCGCTCTGCTTCTAGCTCCTCTCTCGAGTATTGTTGTACTTCGAGGTATAGATCTGCGCCGATGTCGCGCATCTGCTTCTCAGCAGCGAGTTGCCCCTCGTCGATGCTGGCCTCTCGCGCCGGCGAGATATCATGCTCTTTCTCGCCCATCTTACCCGTCCACAGATGAGAAACTGATTGTTGACGACCAAGTCCGGATACAGTGGTTGACTAGAGTGGGGTAAAAGCAAGATAGCCGAAGACCCTGGCAACAGTGGTTTCGCAGGTCGCAACGTTTGAACAGTAATACAGGTAGCGGGGTGTATGGTGCATCTGTACTTATGTGTTCCCGCCATCTCCCACCCTTGGCAACGGCCGTGAAGGTAGTTATCGTCTATCATGCCAAGGTGTTCTTATCGGCTTGTTGAGTGTTGCACATCGCTACCTAGGGCGGCCGTAGTATCATGCAGGTTGCTGATGTTGCCGCATGCTATTGGGTTTGTTGATCCTTCGGCACGTCGAATCGGGCAATTCCCGGGTACAGTTACCCTGGCTGGAGTAGTCCGAGATAGCAAAGCTTAACCTGATGGTTGTTTGTGACGTGCGCCAATTGTGGTTCTCCTCATCTGTGCAGCGCATGTTAAGCTCGATGAGATAGAATATAATTGTTTATCCAGGTAAAAGGTTTTACACGTGTCTTATTTACTCTAGTTCGGGTGTCGGACTACTGCGCCTTGCCGATATCTCTATGGATGGCCACAGCCAGCATCGGTATCGTGTGAAAATCCTACTTCCACAGACCGTAGGGTCCAGACGTGAACTTCCATAGCTTCACAGTTCCGTCCTCACTGCCTGTAGCATAGAGCTTCCCGTCAGGCGAGAAGCTTGCCGACCAAATAGGCCCGTGATGACCCTTGTTGGTCTCGAGCTCCTTCTCTTCGTCAAAGTCCCAAACTCTGACCCAAGTGTCGTTCTGGTTGCTACCACCAGTAACGAATTTGCGCTCTCCGTTGTGTAGAGCCACACTGGCAATCTCGTACGGTGTCTTGATGCTCTTGATGAGTGAGCCAGGCGACTGGCTGTTGAAGAAGTAGGCACTGTTTCCAGCGGCTACGCTCAAGATACCATCCGAGGAGGTGTTATCCAACTCGCAGGAGCCAACAGTGCCTTCAAGAGCATGCTCGCCAATTGTAGCCTCTTGGCGCAAATCCCACCACCGCACCTTTTTATCTTCGGCCGCTGTTATTATGACATTGGGGTCAGACGTCCATACAATCGACTTGATGGTCCCGGTGTGGACACCTGCGCCGATCTCGAAGCTCGTCGCGTCGCTGCGTGAAAGGTCGTAAATGCGCAGCTTCTTCTCCATGCCACCTGTCGCGAGGATCTGGGGATGGGGCTGGTTGGGGAATGCGACTGCGCGAACGATGTGGTTGTGTGAGAGAGTGTGTAGGGCTTCGCCAGTGTGAGTGTCCCAGACCTTTCTGTAAACCGTTAGAACGCTTCCCGATTTCGCGAAGTAATAACACGTACGCAGAGAAATCTGCAGAGGCGGTAGCTGCCAACGAGGCATCAGAAGATAGCCTCGCTTGCCACACTGCGCCTTTGTGACCGAGGAAGGTGCCAATCCAGTCTCCCGTCACTCCGTCGCGGAGCATGGGGTTGTTATCCTTGCATGCTGATATAATATAGTATTGGTCTTCGTCTACAAGGGACGAGAAGTGGATGTGTGGCACAGGTCGTGAGTGACCGTGGCAGGTGAGGGGCACGACTTTGGTTGTCTCGGGCATCGTAGGTGGATAAGGAGGGTGTGGAGCTTCGGTGTAAGGAGCGAGTGCGAGTATATGTCGTGTGAGCTGAGTGAGTCTCGTGGCTCAAGTCGAGTGGCGGTGAGGTTTGACGGTGGCAGGGAGTGTGTTTGTTGTCGTTATTGGGATATCGCAGGCAGTTCCGAGCTATATCGGAACCAGCAGGAGCAGCTCTAGCAGTTCAACAAGGCAGAAAAGAGAGCGGAGGATACGAAATGGTCGTCAAGGGGTCGTAACGTCGTGAAAATGGTGTGCTGGTGGAATCGCAAGTTCATTGATCGCGATTCGAGGGGAAATGTTGAAACGGGCAGCCAAATCTCAGGGTTGACCTAGCGTCGGAGGCTCCACTACCGAGGCTTGCTCAAACGGGTTTAGTTACATGATGCCATCTGTACCCTACAAGAACAGCAGCACCATATATAAGAGAAAAACCGAACAGGTAGAGATAGTAAGCTCTAGTTTGCAGCTCACATTAGCTCCTAACAAGAGAGCGATTATAGGGATTAATAGTAGTACAGGCTTTTAGATTCTCTATATATGTCTATATAGCTCTAATACGCTTTGTTGTAGTAGGAATGAGTACTCTGCTCAAATAAGATATTTAGTTTCTCTCTTTGGCGTAGTGGCAGCAAAACTATCTAGATGCAACCAAGTCTGCCCGTTATCTACCACCTGGCTAAAAATGCTTGAGAGCCTGTCCACAATGTCTGCATACCTCGTGCAGCTTTTCTTCATCGTCCGTCATCACGATCCACGAGACGTCGCCACAATTCCAACATATAAGCCGGACTCCGATGCACAACTGACTTGTGATAGCCTCGCCATCATTATTTACTTCGGCAATTCCAGTCCTGTCCATCAAGTGGAGAAATATGTCTCGTCCAAACTCTGCTACTTTCTGTGATGCCATCACTACCAGGGGTTGATCATCTCCTGTGTTTTTCAGAACGCTTGTGTTCGGCCAATCTGTTGCTAGTTCCAGTAAGATCTTTACCAACGGATGGCTGGGTCGATGTTCTGGACCGACGAGTTCGTACATGTCTCTGACGAACCCGCAAAATTCGGAACGCGCAACACAGTTCTTTGACTAGTGGTTTATCGTCACCGGTCAACCAGGCATCCATGCAACTCTCGAACTGTGAGGCAACCGGGACCAAGAAAGCGGGAAATTGGTACTTGTCGCCCACGCGATAAAGCTCAAGGAAGCGCTTGATGTTGATGGTAGTACCATTCGGCGGGCTCTCCGATGGATGAATCTGTTGATCATACGCGAAGCCGAGCATAGTTTTGAGAGCATCGGGATCATCTCCAACCAAAGTGATCTCTCTGGCATGGCTCTCCTGTGTACTTCATTAAACGCATGTACTGTATTATGGGGTACAGGACTTACTGCAAACCCTCCAGTAAAAGCTGCTTCGAACCAACGGGATTGTGCGCTCAGCAGCAGTCTATGAGCTTTGAATTTCAGCTCGCCCGAAGCTCCGTACCGGATCGTGACATCGGATAGCACTTTGGAGTTTGAGTACCTAGAAGCGGGAGCTTTAGTATGTTTTCATTCAACATTCGTTGTGACTCACTTCTCAAAGTCGAACATCGGCCGCTTGTATGTATCGCTCGAGGAATCCATACTGTCAAGTCTCAGGGTGGAGATACTGCCGTCGAAGAAGAAGATGGAGTCAAATTTAGGAAGAAAGGTCGAAAGCGAGTGGGGTTGATATTGATGCCTACTAAGACGACCCCAAGGATCTCTCACTTGTTGCCGAGCTAAAACTACGTGATACGCTGTGATACGCTGTTTCACCTTCACCGACTCACCTTCACTTGCGATAAGTTACTTAAGAGCTCTTTCTTTTTATAGAACGTCAGCGATGCAGAAATCGTAAGTGGCCTATCGGTTATAGATCAAATACGCAGACTTTGGTTACGGCACAACATCATGCATCGAAATGAAACAGGCCATCAAACGGACAGTGAGAGAAGGCAATGCATTGTCGGAGACACATGTGGAGTAGCTTTATAGTAGCAATATAATGTAGTATTTCGATGAGGGTATAATATAGATTAAGATATACAGGTAACAGTCTAGCTATGGACGCTGGCAAGATCGCGTGGCATGGTCGTCATTGTTGCTTAGAGGCCGGTAGAGCCGACACCAGAGGTGACACCATCCTTGAGGTTGTTAACAACAGGGAGAGCACCGTCAGTGACGTTCTTGACGGCAGGCTCAACGGCACCCTTAGCGCCGTTAACAACGGGGTCAACAGCGCCCTGAACGTTGCTGACAACAGGGGCGACGGCACCCTCGACACCCTTAACGGCACCAGTAGCAGCGTCCTTGACGGGCTTGACAACAGGGTCAACAGCACCGGTGACGCCGTTGACAATGGGAGTGACAGCAGAGGTGACACCGTCCTTGACATCGTTGACGATAGGAGAAACAACACCGGTGACACCACCAACGACGTTGTCCCTGACACCGTCGACAATAGGGGTAGCGGCATCCTCGACAGACTTGAGACCAGGAACGGCACCCTCAACACCGCCAACGAGACCGTTGACGTCAGGGAGCTGGCGCCTGGTCAGAGCAGCATCAACAGACTTGTCCAGAGCATCGGCGTGAGCATCGATGTTCTTGACGTCGTTGACAGTAGAGGTAACACCGTCCTTGACGCCGTTGACACCATCCTTGACGTTACCAACGAGGCCATCAACACTGGGGAGCTGGCGCCTGTCGAGGTCGACCTCAGCATCGACATCAATGTCCTTGACATCCTGTCAGAATTGTTAGAGGGATGAGATGAGTGAGATGGATATGAAACTTACGTCAACAGTGGACTTGACACCGTTGGTGGCACCGGAAGTGACATCGCCAACAAGGCCGTCGACCTTGGGAACGTTGACGTTAGGGATCGTTTGGCGCGCGTTGACCTTAGCATCAACATCGGCATCGACAGAAAGACCGAGAGCATTAAGCTTGGCCTCGACTGAGGCATCGACGGAGAGACCAAGAGCCTGGAGCTTGACTTCGACGGAAGCATCGGCAGAGACACCGAGAGCCTCGAGCTTAGCGTCGATTGCTGCCTCAAGTTCTGCGTCGAGACGCTTGTTGAGAGAGGCACCGGCAGCAGCATCAGCAGTGAAGGGGCCCAAAGCGTTGACCTTAGCATCAACGTTGGCATCGGCGCGGCGGCCTACGCTGGCGCCGACCTTGGGGTTGATGCCCTTGTCAACGGTGACGTTAACGTTGTCGTATGTGACGCCCTCGAGGTTGACCTTGGCGCCTGTGTTTACTCGTCGTCCTAGACCGACAGCGACCTTGGGCTCAACACCAGCAACCTTAGCGCCGACGTTTGCTTGGGCACG